TCAATCAGATCACTATTACTATCAGAGAAAATAAATAAGATCTTAATCCTTCGATTACCTTATACCTATCATGACTAAAAAAATATTTTTTGTTGTAAATACTAAAATAATAGTATGAACTAAGTAGTATTAATATTATAAATACAAATAACTAAAAACTAAAATATTTACACCCTAAAATTACCTATAAGATCTTGATTTATTTACTGAAAACTGTAATGGGGTTACAGCTTAGGTACGATTAGGTACTAGCCAGTATGGTTTCATGCTTTCAACTTCTGGTAGAAATGTCTATGTTTCACGATGATGAAATTTTTAGTTCTGTCTTTATAAGCTGAGCTTCTTAAAGGATTACGTGACCAGTTCAGAGAGTAGTGTGTTGTATATTTTCTCATGCGTGTTATGTGGCACGCAGGCTCCGTGCTACTATTGAGATTATTAAAATCACTGAGAATACTAATAATATTTATTGTATAAACATTGAATATGATATTGAAAAAGGGCTTTTAAACTTCTTAGCACAGTTTTCAATGGATTTCAAACTTATATTAAAATTTATCAATGTTGGCATGGTTTTAGAGCAAATAATTATATTAACAATAAACGAAATTAAAATATTTTGGTACTAAAATATTTATGTTATGAGTCCCATGTAATAGGTGGTGAGCCTATTGCCATATACCGGGCACAATTCCAGACTCCGTGCTACTACTGAGAATATTAAAAAACCCAGTAATACTTTGCCCGACCCGGGAATCGAACCCAAGACCCCTTGCCCGGCAGTCGCACTTACGATCACTCGGCCAACGAGGCAGTCAAATATATGACAGGTTAATTTTGATAAATATTGTAACTACAATTACTAAGCTATCTATAAATTCTATTCCACATGATATGGGAATATCTGAAGTAATGCAGACGTATTTCCAGCGACATTTTACTGATAACATTTTGGCTGGAATGCCGCCGGATTCACCTCCGCCGGCGATATGTGCCTTTAAATATGTCATGCTTATGGCAGATGTACTGTCGACTAAATATATGGAGTACCATCCAATACAAGGATATGAGTTTGTAAAAAAATAATAGGTATGCTATTTAAACTGTCAAACACCAAGCGGTCACCGGTGACCGCGACCTATTGTTCTTTAATTGTGTCTATAAAACCGGTACTCGACGAGTTAAGTGACTATTTTTTATGTTACAAGCCTGTAGCAACAAAGCTCTGATAGTAAATGGTCGGTGTAGCCTAACTATTATTATTTGTTTATTTATTTTTTAATAAAGGTACATGGTATGCCTTATAATCTAACGCCATGTCCAACAAAACTATATATACATTTTGTTAAGTTTGACTGTTGGAGGTATCACATAGAAAATATAGAACGTGATCTAGATTAAGTAACCTCAAGTTCGATGAAACATGATAGACAACTATTTATGTACTGAGCTTGCTAAATTGGTTTCATAGTCCTATTTTTCATATTGATATGATATTCGTGAATTAAACAAACACTTCGATGCCAATAATTCAGTTATAAGCGCTTCATAAAACGCTTCACATTTTCCTCTTAAAAAACTTGAATAAAATTCAGTACATGCAACGAGAATCCTAAAAAGTTGATGTAATTTCTTTGTACAATAAACTGAGGTTAACTAAATAAATCAGAGAATATTTGTTATTTCAGCCTGCACACCAGACGTTTAGTTGATTGTACTCGTTTGGAGCGAAACTGTTTGACTGTGATAGGCACTTTCAAATACATTCCACTCCCACACACCACATTTCCAATGTTTTATGTCGGTACAGGATATTTACGAAAATACTGTTTTAGATAGCATAGTTGTATAACCTTTTTTAGAGGGTTGATTATCATCCAATCACTTCTCCCGCCTTGGGCGAGGCGGGAGGGAGTATCAGACTCTTACTGACTAAAAACCACCCCGTCCCTCCTTCTGCTCTTTGAGCTGGAGTCCCGGCAACCCATTAAGTCCTCCGCGGCTCCGTATCGGCATGAGCCCTTCTGTGCCACATCTGTGGTGGTCTGATGGCTCATTAAAGCGCGCGATAATTGGTAAGCTTAAGGGATACTATTGCGGTGGTAATTTTTGATGGTGGAATATTTGGGATATTGTTTAATGATAAGTGCTAATTGATAGCACTTGACAGACAGAGACAGCATTGGCTGTCTGAGAAAGAAATTACCTTTAAAACAGCAATTTTCAGCCTATTCAGCATGGCAATTATGGTAAACCAATACAGGATATACAGGAGGCCCATAGTCCTACAGTAGACTCCGATTAAGTGTCGCGGAGAACCTAACGGGTAACCGGGGCTCCGGCTCGACGTGCAGGAGAAGGAACGGGGTGGTTTTTAGTCAGTAAGAGTCTGACACTCCCTTCCGCCTCACCCAGGCGGGAGCAGTCATTCGATGATTTTCCCCCCTTAAAAAAAAAAGACTCCGACTAAGTGTTGATGTTAATGATGATGTTGCTATTTATACTCGTTTTATCTTCTTCATAATTATGAAGGTTTTAAAGAAAGCGACTGCTGGAAGTGGCCAAGGTCACGACTAACGTCGGGTTATCTCGCGATTCAACCATCTCCAAAGACAGAATTACTATTTAACCTGCCTCTGATAGTTGAGGTAGAAAATGGTAGATCTACTCCGAAACAACGATCTCTAGAGATACTTTGCAAGTCAAAATCAAAATCATTTATTTCAATTAGACCAGAAAGACACTTATGAACGTCAATAAAAAATTAAAGGTGAAGCTATTTGCTCATTCCAAGGTGTAGATTCCTATGGAGAAGAACGAGTAAGAAACTCCATAGGTTACTCGTTTTCAATCAGGTTTACAATACAATTCTCTGCTTACATAATTGTCTTAGGGTGGTTGAAATAAGAACAAGTAGTTCTACTTCGAGTATTTTCTAGACTCATCCTCCGAACTAACTGTGGATAGCAATATGTATTGGGACTATTTGTATACCGCACTTCTGCGGACGAGCAGTGCACTAAACTAGTGGTCTGGCTGCGGGTTCTGATGCGTTATAGAAATCGGAATACATACATTCAATTGGGTAATTTCCTGGGTCATTAATATTTTATTTTGATTTTTCAATCTAAGTAAATATTCAAAAATAATTACAATATTATTCATATATTTGACGATATACTTAATTTTCGATTTATTCTAGCTATTTTATCAGAAATAAGTGTGCTATTTGACTCGAAAATATGATGACGTCATAAGTTAGGTTTTGGTACAAATATCATAGAACATTATCGTTTTTGGCGTTTCGATAAACATATTGAAATTGATTAGTTGTAAAATATCGTATTTTTTTTATTACTGTTGTAAAACGTAGAATAAAAATAGTTTTTTTGTTACATATAAGATAATAAACAGCTAAAATTGTTCACAATCCCAGTACCTCAGCGAATTCGTCTCTGACATAACCGTGGGACAGCACCCATTAAGCTATTCCTATCCGCAACCCGATGTCCAACTAAACTACTTCCCAAATTAGACTGAAGATGTCACGTCCTTCCCGCATTCTCCATAACTCATCCTCACGAATATTGCGTGATAGAAGCATTGAAAACAAATTGTCGGTACAATCTGAAGCGTAAATAACATTAGCAATATTAGATATAAGAGGTTCACAAGAGTTGAGTAGTCAGTGCAAATGAGGAATATCCTGTACACAATTGAGGGGGACCGACGTTGGGATACTACAGTGGCAATCTGCACGGGTTCAACCTAACACGTAAGTCAAACCTCCTTGGATATTTTTTTCTTTTTTATTCCCTTCCTAATTCAAAATAGTTTTTGACAATTTTGCACAATTCCCTCCAAGATGATTTCGTAAGAAGAATATCTTTTTTTTCTTTTCGTTTTTTAAATGTTCTTGAAGTAAAAGAGGTTACTATTGTGGACCAGTAACCTCTTTAGTGGATTGTATTGTTATGTCCTTCAAGTGTTTCGTTTGCTGACACGTGATTTAGAGTAATCATTCTAATTCTTGTCTTGAAATAGGGGAGATTACTGGAGTATCCTTATCTTCTACCTATACAATCTTATGTTAGGTATCCTCGTATTTATCTTTGTTGTAGTATTGTAGATGAATCTGTTCTTTAATTACATCACCCTTTTCCACATTTTCTTCATCGCTTTTAATTACTTTGCATACGTTAACAAATTATAATAAGAAATGCCATACGGATAGACTGCCTCCTGACTGTCCTGGGTTCGATTCCCGGGTCGGACAAAGAATTAATGGGTTTTAATAAAAATCTCAGTAGTAGCACGGGGTCTGAAACTGGGCCCGGTATATGCCAATAGGCTCACCCTTATTACATGGGACTCTTAACATAAATAGTGAAAACTGGGTGTTACATTGTATAGTGGCATTACTTAAGTGCTGTAATGTGCACCTCTGCCTACCCCTTAGTGGATAAAAGGCGTGATATTATGTTATGTTTATGTAAATGCCATAAGGTTTACACACTGCTTTTACATAGTTCTCCTTATTATGAAAATTACTTTTGCATTCAGAAACTCTGATAGAAATGTCTGCAATAGGCACCTCCTGGTGAAAATATAAATATTTAAATTCTTTCATTTTTTATCTATTCTGAAACTAATAACGTTCAAACGAGAAAGCCTAATGAATAGTTTACCAAGTTAAAATCCAAATATGGAGGGTCTATTCTCACGATATTTTCCTTCGGGAAAATATCTTTTCCACCAGATCCATCAAAGAGGATTAACTTGTTGAGTACCGTCATTATAGACACAATTAAGACTTTACTGCCAATAAAAAACTGTTGAAGGTAAATCCTCCGCTAACGCCGGTCACCGGTGACCCTCATGGCGTTTAACGTGTTAAAGAACAATAGGTTGCGGTCACCGGTGACCGCTCGGTGTTTGACAGTTTAAGAATCATAAATTTTCTTTCTAGGTACAAATAATAGAAAGAGTCAAAGGAAACGATGATCAGCCGCGTCCTTCTGCTCGTGTGCCTGTGCCTCCGAGTCGCGAACTCTCTGCCGCCGGATAAGGTTCGTGACGACACATCCTGATTGCCTTTGTTAGCTGATATTGACACGGATTGCCGTACAGACTTACTATTATATGTATGTAGAGTAGACCGTCTAGTGTAGACGATATGGAATTGTTATGCAATAATGAAAGTGTGGATTGTACTAAGAATCTGAAGGCGATTATAGAGTTTGATAAAGTTTATCTCATCATCGCCTCATCATACCTGATGGTGATGATGAGGCTGAATCACTTTCTAAGTTTATGGTGATCCATTAAATGACACCACAATGACACCAATGAAAGTGTCAGACTCTTACTGGCAACTAAAATAATAAAATACCAACTAATAAAATACCACGCTGTTCCAACTCCAGCTCTATGCCAAGGGTACCATGGTATATGGTAATGACGCTGCCAGGTTCAAACCATAGCCTGTGATCGAATCTATCGTTATATTGTATCACTATATTGTGTTCAATTGTAAATCCAAACAGGTACAAAGTTTTTATATTTGTTTTTATCATTGTCACGAGTCAGTGATAACGGACAATAGTAGTTTCTTATTAACGCCGCCGCTTTAGGTGAACCGAAGTCTATAAATGTTACCTTTTTTGCACTATTGTGTCATCATCGTAATAATATCAAATTACTTTTTTCTAAATAGTTTTTGCTATAAAATATTTGGCAAGAATTTGCACATTTGGACATTAGGATATAAGTATTATTATAGTAGCATTTTATGCCATGTTCTCAAATAAATTAGTAGGTTAGTTTAGTGCCTTTTTCTTATATTTTTCATTAACATGTATTAACGCCGCAGATAATTTTCTTTTATATAAAACGTTGCCCCACATTAGGATTTTCTCCTGTGTCGTGGGTGCGTTTACAAACATACAAGTTCACATATACATGACACCCAGACCCGAAACAAACAATTTGTAGATCACACAAAGTGTTGTTCCGTGCGGGACTCGAACCCGCGACACGTTGCACCGCAGCCGGTTGCCCAGCCACCGCACCAACCGTGCAGTCCGTTTGTAACCAAAATGTCTACAAATACTTTTGAATTGTTTTTTGAAAATCAGCCTGCGTTCGACCATTGGCCTTTTATTAACAAAGATCGCTAGTCGAAGAAATTAATAAGTTAACAATTACTCTTACAATTACGTTTTAATGTTGTTCTACGTTGACACTGTGACAGAATAGAAGACATATTCCGTCACTGTTATGGCATTTCGCATGTTGTGCTACTGGTCAAAGTCAGAGCAAATATTTATCAAGATACCACTTGGGTAAATTGTGACTACATCTATTGTATGTCCATCGAAATTTTTCCAAGAACAGATTAGCTGTTGTAAATTTATTAGGTGTGACATTGAGGGCTTACTGGAGTAATGATATTAAAGTGTACGTCTGTTTGATTTGTTGTTCAGGGTCTACTACAACAAAGATGAGACAACTGAGTCAAAATGAGATTTAGTCGAGACAAGGATTTAGGCTGGATTTCATTAGATTTGTGTTTATTGAATAGAAAATAATAGGTCGCATTGTAGGAATGAATATTCAAGTAACAGATTAAGTAAGAAAAAACGAAATCGTCATACTTATAATAAATAAATAAAGGAATGATTTTATAAACTACGTTTACAAACACCGACTTCAACTCTCTCTATTTTTGAAGTTGGTTAATGGTTATACTAAAGTCTTTACCTAAGTGTAACAAATACTTTTCTGAAAACCACACCAAAATCGGTTTAGCCAGTTGCGAGTAAATCGCGCACAAACATACATACATATAAGTATATATATAAGTATACGCATGTCAGGATAAACAGAGGACTTCCATTTTTTTGAAGTGGGTTAAGAAGAAACATAGATTCAACGTCAATTGTTTAAAAATTTAACACTGATTGATTATATAGATATAATCAAAACATTTAACTTCATAAAACCAAGCTAAACAATCGGCTACAAAAATATGCGAGACCGAAAAATCAAAGTAAACTTACCGGGGAATGACGTCATAGCAGAGCGAGAGTAAACATTGGCCATAGATCATTAATTAAGTGCGATTAGTAGCTGTTAGTGGTGCACCAAATATGTGCATAACAAACCGCTAAATATGGGTCGATGGTTCGATGAGCCAGCAATACTTGCTTGTTTGGGTATCTTACTGACAAGCTCCAAATCAAACCAATGTCGAGTTCGGCAAGAATTTTCGTGTAGCATGGTTTAATTTTTTTGGTTTTTTTATGAATTTTAATATTTTAGTTTTAAATTATTTATATTTTAAGTTGTATAGGTATATTTATTTAATTTAAATTCTAACCTATATTTAGTAAATAAACAATTATAGTTAACTTTTTTATAGTATAATCACGTTTTGATTAGTGTCAACTTAGGGTTTTAGTATTCGTCGTGTTCCGCGCGCGCCTCATCATACCACCACAGATGGAGCTCAGTAGGGTTGATGCCAGATCCGGAGCCGTGGAAGACTTAACGGGGTGGTTTTTAGTTAGTAGGAGTCTGACAATCTCTCTCGTTTACCTATAGCGGGAGGAGTCGTTGGATGATTTTCCCCCCTTAGTTTTGGTATTGTTATTGTGACGTTAAACAGCCTTGGCATGTCATTAAATGAAAAGTTAGATTGAAGAATGATTACCTTACAATTACAATAGTTATTAGAAGAATGACCACAAAGAATGAAGGTACACCACACACACATACTATAACAATAAATCCAATGTGATACACCAGATCTAAGACCAAAGTTTTAGTGTATTGAAAATTGCAATACGCGAAATATCAATGATACTTTTATACCACTTCAGTCTTACAAATAAATACTCATGAATTTACGTACGTACATTTGATAAAATTAGGAAAATAAATAATTTAATAGGAACTTAGAATTAATGAATGAGAAATGAGGTAAATTGTTATAAGGTATTACGTAACAAACTTTCACTTGTATAATCCATTTTTAAATTTTTAGGTCCCAATCCACATAATTAAAACTCGTAGTATAGACCTGAACAATGCCCATGGTCTATCGATGGAGACCCGTCTGGATAAAGTGGTGGAACCCACAGGCTACAAACTCGACCTAGAACCTTACTTAGAAGACGGTATTTTCAAAGGTCATGTAGCCATCAACGTGACCTGGCTGATGGATGGTAATGAAGTTTTTTTGCATTGCGCACATGAAATTGAGATCTTGGAGTATGAAGTTAGAGCTCATTTTTCTGGAGATGCGTGAGTAGATTTGGATATTACTAACACAAGTAAAAGTATCTTTAATAACACAAGTTATTTTACTTAAACATGTCAGCTTGCCTAACATGTCGCATGTCTTATCTATCATGGTCTTGGTTGATGTGTTTTGCAAGATGAATATAAACATAAAAGATTGATTACATAATTTGAATAATTTTATTTTTAGTAAGGAACCGAAAAGGGTAACCATAAGTAAAATGTCAATGGACCCGAAGAAGCCTATTGTTACTCTATCTCTCGAGAGGACAGTCCCTAAAGGTTCCACAGGAGTCCTGAAGTTCAGCTTCAAGGGTAATCTGGAGACATCTTCAACTGAAGCGTTCTTCAAAACAACTTATGTGACTGATCAGGAAGTAGAAAGGTAAGTGGAACAAGATACATATGACACTGAAGCCTTTTTTCTGCTTCGACTATACAAGAGATATCGCACGCTGAGAACGAAAGTGATCGATTTCAAAATTTTGGTTAAATCACGATTTCATATAATGTACTTCAGTGGAACGCCCAAAGTATAAGACCTAAGTTACTGTCGTTTTGTGAGATTTTAAATCAAGAAAAAGTACATATTGCTGCGATAAGTGAAACATGGCTCGAACCGGTTAGTAATTTTAATATCAGCGGTTACAATGTTTATAGGTCGGATCGAGATGACTCATACGGTGGAGTAGCTATTTTTTTACATAATAGTATCAAATCACAACAAAAACAGGTTCGACTCAACAATGCAGGTATCGAGATTATATGCGTTCAATTATTTAATTGTAAACCTTTCGAATACGTGATCGCTGTTTACTGTCCATCCAGGATTGTTACAAATCGTCAGGATTGGGATAGTATATTGTCTATATGGTCACATAATGCAATTATACTAGGGGACTTCAATGCACACCATACCACTTGGTCATATAAAAATGATCACAGAGGTAATCTCATTTATGACGCGCTAATGGACAGTAACTTTTTCGTGCTGAACGACGGAACTCATACACGTATTCGTTTAGTTGATAACAACTTGCAACAATCGGCCCCTGACTTATCATTGATTTCCAATGATATTGCATTGGGAGTTAATTGGACCGTTTTAAACGAAAATTTAGGTAGTGACCATTTAATAATTAAAATATCATCCCAGTTGTCATCTCACGTCCCTCCTATATCTAAAAGGAATTTCCGAAAAGCTGATTGGGTTGCTTATAAAAGTCATTTAGAAAAAGAATTTCATGATTTTATCCTTCCAAGTGACCCACAAAAGGTTACGATTCATTTGTTAATACCATCAATGATGCCGCGGATCTTTTTATCCCATATTTTAAATTGAATCAAAACCCTACTTCTAAATTTATCTCCAAAGCGTACTGGACATCAGAACTTTCTCATGCTGTAGCACAACGTAGGCTGGCATTGTCCAAGTTCAGGCGTAATCCTACTGTACAGAACATGGATATTCTTAAAAGTCGTATTCATTCTGCTCAAAGACTTATAAGAATAGCTAAAAGGTCACATTGGCAGGAATTTTGCACCTCGATCGATCACAATACTTCTTCCAGTGAAATGTGGCGTAAATTGAAATGGATCAAAGGTTATCGCTCGCAAAGACAATTTGTAGATGTTATTGGTGCAACTAATTTACTCAATTCTCTTACACCAGATTATGCGTTCCCATTATGTCCCACTCTTTATCAAAGTAATTCCATAATAGAATGTGAAATCTCTATCCAGGAGCTAAATAAATGTATTAAAAATAAGGATACATCTCCTGGATGTGATGATATTTCATATTCGATGGTTAAACATTTACCTGATGCAGGTAAGCAGGTATTACTTAAATTATTTAATTTTTTTTTAATGAATAGTTTTGTTCCTTCGCAGTGGCTTGACATTGGTATCATACCTATTCCGAAACCAGGTCGAGACATTAATAGTGCATCAGGATTGCGTCCCATTTCCCTTTTATCGTGTATTTGCAAGACATTTCATTATATTATATTACGTCGCTTGGAGTGGTTTGTTGAAAAACAAAATATTTTTTCTACAAACACAGTAGGCTTCCGTAGAGGTAAGTCATGTTTGGATGGTTTAAGTAACTTAATAACCTTCATTCAGTCAGGTTTTTCTGCGGGGTATTTAACGATGGGTTGTTTTTTAGATATCGATAATGCTTACAATAATGTAAACCATACAGCCTTAATTGATATTTTGAACAATCTTCGAGTAGGACCACTTATTTGTAATTATTTATGGAATTTCTTACACCAAAGAGTATTAAAAATTAAATCCGGGAATATTTATATTAATAGATGCGCTGGTATAGGCTTGTCACAGGGAGATCCTTTATCGCCTCTACTATTTAATATTTTAACGTTAAATATATGTACACAAATTCAGAATGATGACGTTTGCATAACACAGTATGCTGATGACTTCGCGATATATTTGCAATGCTCATCGATTAGTGAGGGTCAAACTAAAATGCAGTGTGCACTTAATTTAATGGATAGATTGCTGTCACATTCTGGCTTGCAAGTTTCTCCTTTAAAAAGCAAAATTTGCTTATTTAATAGAGGTTTCCGTAGGTAGGATAGTGTTCGACGTTCTTCTTAATGGTACTCAATTACAACTTGTAGATAATGTTAAATACTTGGGTCTCTGGCTAGACAGGGGGCTGCGATGGAATAAACACATTAATGAATTGTGTGAAAGAGTTACCAAGTTGATAAACATCTTTAAGATCTTGGTAGGATCGGCATGGGGTATCCACCCCAAGCACCTAAGGCGCTTATATATAGCACTGATTCGTAGCCGTATAGACTTTGGTAGCTTCTTATACGACAATAGCGCCAACACACATCTAATTAAATTAGATAGGTTGCAAAATATTTGTTTACGGTTGATAGGTGGGTACATCAAAAGCACCCCAATTCATGTGATGGAAGCCGAGTTATTTTTATCCCCTTTATTTGTTAGACGTCGTTTTTTAGCAGGGAAATTTTATTTGAAAAGTAAGAGTTTTAAGTCTCCGCTAGTTAAGTCGATCGACAATTTACATACTTATAGTCGCAATCGTTTCTGGAGGAATAAAAAAATACCTCTTCTAGTGTCTACACATGATGCCTTAAAGCAAGAACACGTGTATACAAGTGACAGTGTTGGTTTATTCTCTATGGATACATGGGGCAGCAATATGGACTTATCGAACATTAAAACTACTTTAGAACATATAGACAAACCAAAAAAATCATATAATAGCTATAACTTAAAATCAATCTGTTGCAAGTCTTTAACTTCGTTATATTCAGAATATCATTGTGTATATACAGACGGTTCAAGAAGGGATAATTTTTACGGTGCAGCATTTTTTGATTCACAATTAGGTATAAGCTTCAAATTACGCATTTTATCGAAGCTATCAATTATGCACATAGAATTAATTGCCATTGCGGAAGCTTTGTCGTATATTCAATCCTTAGACGGTGACCGGTTTGTTATCTTTTGTGATTCAAAGAGTGCTCTTTTTCACCTAATTCATTCAAGTTTATCTGTACGAGGGCTTCCACTGGCGTACAGTATTTTAAGATCTATTTTTGAACTTAGGGCCAAAGGCAAAAGTATTGTGATACAATGGATCCCTTCCCACACTGGATTGGAGGGTAATGAGGAAGCTGATCGGTTGGCTAATGAAGCGGGATCTAACGGGGAGGTTTATACTTGTGCTCTGTGGCATACTGAACTTCTGCCTTTAGTAAGAGAAAGTTGCTATAAAGTATGGTCAGAATACTTTGACAAAAGGTCACTTACTAAAGGCATTTGGTATAAAACAATACAACCGACGCTTCCTCGTGCCCTCTGGTTCGGTGAAGGCGGGTTGAGTAGACAAGATATCGTCACAGCTTTAAGGCTCCGATCTGGACACATGCCTCTTAATAGTTTCGGATTCATGATGCGTAAAGTCGAATCACCAAATTGTGCTGTATGTGATGTTGTAGAGGATGTGCAACACATTTTGTATGAGTGTCGACGTATTGAGTCTCAGAGGAATCAGGTTTTTAGTTTTAAGTGCCTTAATATTGGTTTTTATAACAGTGTTTTAGCGTCACCATTGTCATCCGACGCTAAAAAATTGTATAGTTTAATTAATTTGTGTTTGAGCTTAAGGGATAGTTAAACCTACAAAAGGTTTAGCTGCTTTATTTTTTGTATTTAATTTTGTATCCTATAATAGGGCTGACATTTTCCTCTACGGAAAAAAGCCCTTCTTATTAAATAAAGATTAAAAAAAAAAAAAAAAAAATTTTTGGTTAAATGAGTTAAGTATACAGAATGACTCAAAAAAGTATATTCCATCATACATAAATTCGAAAACTGGCCGATAAAGGTAAGAAAAGGATACAGATATATTTCGGTCTCTTTGTCCCTCAACCGTTCCCTCCCCCCGCGCCCGAACCAAAGTGACGAAATCAGTGTTGCACCGTGAGTTGTCATGACAACACACATAGAGGTATATTTCAAAAGAAATTCATAACTTTTATTACCATGTTTTAGTGTTTTGTAAAATGAACAGAAAATGCTTAATACGACGGACACATTTTCGCCTATTCCCAAAAATTGGCAATTTTAAGTTGAGTCACTTTCGTTCTCAGGGTGCGATATGTATTTAATGACGGTTTCATTAATCTATACTTTATTTGTTAAATACTTTTAATGTTGTAACTCATTTATCGAGAATGGCTTTAGATTATACAAAATCACGCTAAAGTCAATAGGAGCAGTTGAGCAGTGGTTTGAGTTAGTAATCCAATAAATAAGGCCTATTTTCATTATAAATTATCATCATATAATGCTGCTTAACTCTTTACATTTACACAATACTTTTTCTGGCAAACAGTTTAGTAAGTAGTTAAAACTGCCTCATTGGCCAAGTGGTCGCAAGGGCGACTGCCGGGTTAGGGGTCTCGGGTTCGATTCCCGGGTCGGGCAAAGTATTACTGGGTTTGTAAAAACCTCAGTAGTAGCACGGAGTCTGGAAATGTGCCCGGTATATGGCAATAGGCTCACCCCCTATTTCATGGGACTCATAACATAAATAGTGAAAAGTGGGTGTTATATTGTACAGTAGCATTAAGTGTCGTAATGTGCACCCCTTCGGGGATAAAAGGCGTGATGTTATGTTATGTTTGTTATGTCAGTTTATTAAGTTCTTCTAGGAAAAATTTATTTAATTCGAAATGTTGAAGATTTGTTCTATAACCCTGTTTAATAACAATCCTGTTTAGGATTATAGCAGCTACTCAACTGCGTCCGAATAACGCTCGTCGTATGTTCCCGTGCTTTGATGAGCCTGGGTACAAGACACCCTTCGAGCTTAGTGTAGTTCGTCCCAGAGACATGGTGGCGCTGAGCAACGTGCCTGTGGCTAGAACTGAGAACATGTAAGTACCGTAAGATAAATCTTGAAGTGTTGAGGATTCTGAGTTATAGTCAGTAGACCATAAAATATTCCAGAAAATTTGCGTCAACCGTCCTGTAAAATTTTATTCAATCAAATAAATTTTATTCAATAAATTAAAAAGTGTGGGAGAACCATGCTTCGGCACGAATGGGCCGGCTCGACCGGAGTGATACCACGGTCTCACAGAAAACCGACGTGAAGCAGCGCTTGCGTTGTGTTTCGTCGTGTGAGTGAGGTTACCGGAGGCCCAATTACCCACCCCTTCCCCAATCTCCCCAATTCCTGAATCCCCTGAAACTCCTAATCCCCAAAAGGCCGGTAACGCACTTGTAACGCCTCTGGTGTTCCAGGTGTCCATGGGCGATGCCGATTGCTTACCATCAGGTGATCCGTCTGATAGTTTACCGGCTTATGCCATAAAAAAACACATCTTGGCCTATATACAATGTGTCATTGTACGTACCTTTGTTATACACTACTGAATTGATTCAAAAGTTAAAGCAAATTTTTGTACTTATAACCAAAAAAATTGTATGTACCAACAACCGTAACGTAAAATGAAAATGAATACGATGATTAGGAATTGATATAAAATTTTCTAAACACAGTCCTGATGAACCGGACGCGGTATGTGACCACTTCGAGAAGACACCTCCAATGTCTACGTTCACTCTTGGCCTAGTCATAGCTAACCTGAAGCAGCTGGGCAACTCTACGCAACTTAAGGATAATAGTGGAAATGATATTGGTAAGGAAAATAATGCCGTCTTTAAAAAGTGGTAACAGTCATAACAATTAAAACTATTTTAAAATATTTTTTTAACACGCGTTTTTCATCAATCATAATTATCATCTCATAGTATTACGAATAACCTCTGTGTTACTTATTATTCAACAATTTGGCTATGTATGAAATTTTCGACATACATAAGGATCTCCACCAAAGAACTCAAGCTATACTCACCAAATCTATATAACGAACGGGATTTTTTTTATTTATATACATAAATAAAAAAAACCCGTTCGTTAGTCTCGCTAAAACTGGAGAACGACTGAACCCATTTGCCTAATTTTGGTCTTAAAATGTTTGTGGAAGGTTTAAAACGTGAGAAAAAATACTTGGCGGTACGAAGATTGCTGGGTTAGCTTGATATAAAATATTACGGTGAATCACAAAATCAACTAATAATTTTATTTTCTCCCTAGAAATTCGTGTCTGGGGTCGTCCCGAATACTTGGAAGCTTTAGAAGGAATCAATGAGAAGGTAGTGCGAGTGTTCAAAGAGTTGGCTGCGTTCTGGCGAGTGCCCCTACCTCTGAAGAGGTTGGACATCGTCGCCCTGCCCAACTACCAGGGAGTGAAGCCTGCTGATAACTGGGGCCTGATTGTGTTCAGGTAAGTGCAAAAGTTGTAAATCGAATGACACTTCCAGCCTTGTGAATTTCTTTTAATAAGACTTGTAATTAATCTATTAGTCCATGGTGTAAGTACCTACATCTTAGAATATTTTAGGATCCTAATTGAAGGTAGGTGAAGATAAAAGGAATAAAGTTATTTATTCCGATTACATACCTCGTGAGATTAGAATGTCGTGGTGGCCCGGAGGTTTAACATGCCCGCTTCTCATGCATGAGGGTGCGGGTTCGAAACCTACCAACGGCAAGTACCAATGTGACTTTTTCCGAGTTATTTATGTACTTTCTAAGATTATTCAGACACCACTGACAAACGGTGAAGAAAAACATCGTGAGGAAACCTGGGCTTATAATTTCTAATTATAAGTTTGTAATCGCCAACCCGCATTGAGCAAGCGTGGTGATTAATGCTCAAACCTTCTACGTGTGAGAAGAGGCTTTGTTCAGCAGTGGGCATTTATAGGCTGTTGATGTATGTATGTATTTCGATTAGGCCTTTAGAAAATCAAGCAAATAAGTAAAATTAATAAGCTTGTTGGTTTAGCCCGTTCCGGAATGTAAATTTTCATTCGGACGATACTCCTAATCTATTCTGTTTTCAGGGAGAGTGACTTAAGTAGCCGTGGCTACATCCAACTTGCTCAGGAGTTGTCATACCAGTGGTTGGGAGCTCTCACTACGCCTGCTTGGTGGACTGATGCCCACTTGAACAAGGCTCTCGTTGGTTATGTCGCTGCTGCTACCGCTTTTAAGGTGGGTCATCATTTGTAAATTATCCATATGACATTTTTTTTAAACAAAAATGTCGCCCCACACTTGCATTTTCTCCTGTGTCGTGGGTGCGTTTACAAACATACAAGTTCACATTTACATGACACCCAGACCCGGAACAACAATCTGTGGATCACACAAAGAATTGTTCCGTGCGGGAATCGAACCCTTTACACGTTGCGCGGCAGTCAGTAGGTAGCCCAATCACCGCGTCTACCGTGCAGTCGAATTTTTCACTTTAATTTTGTAATTAACAATTATTTGTTTGATCGCTACCTCTTATCACTGTTAGTATACATATAATGTATTTTTAAACTACTCTTAGTAGCAACAAGGTTTATGGTACCGACTGAGAAAGTAACCGGTTCTAGTTTGCGCATTTCAATAGTACTTCCCTTCATTGTACCGTATGCTTACCTTCTTAAAGAATAGAGTAAATGCCTAATTTTTATTTTTATTTCTGTCTGGTAGATTATTTTAAAACATAAGACACGGATTTTTTATTTTCTTACAGAAACGAATACTTTTGACGATATATTTATTTGAAATGTCGCGTGACGTCACTTCTATGTACATTTTATACGTAGAAATGACGTTTTAGCTAAGTATTGTTTTATTATACGATATAATAAAAAATACGTGTCTAATATTATTTAATTACCTAACTTAATTAGATTTTTAATTTTCATACTCTGTTATCACCCCAATTCCCTTCAGTGAATATTTTAAACTTTATGCTTACCGATAAAGAATAATTCTGATGAAGCACTTCTCTGGTTAGATCAACAATGGCTCAGAAATGGAAGGCAAGTGGCCCCTAACCGTCCTATACTCCCTGTACTACGAGTTCAGCAAGCGTTACCCTCACTCTCGCATCACTGGTATGAAGCAAGAGACAGCTTGCACCAAGATTGAGCTGCTGTTCCGCATGTTCAATTACACCCTCGGAGAAGAGACCTTCAAGAACGGAATTTGGCGGTTCTTGGAGTCTCGGTGAGTTTGGTAGATGATAATTTAATTTTGTTCTTTGAATCATCCTGATACAAACTATTTCTACTACACATAGTTTAGTATGTATCTTATAATAACTATCATAAGACATACTAAATTAACTAAAAATCGCGGGTTACTCGCGTGAATATACAGAGAAAAGCTCTACTAGTTTCGAATCACAGAGGGGTTCTTCCTCATGAGCAGCGTGCGCGGTCGCGGCGATGTCGCGCAGCCTACTGGAACTAGTAGAGCTTTTCTCAGTATATTAATTTCTTATTTATTTCTTGCTTAATTTTTTTTTAATATACTACAACCGATTAATAATAATTAGTGCTCCTTTCAATCACTTCTTTATTGAGTACCATATTTTCAGTTTTGTGTTTTTGACTGTGAATTGTATGTACATTGTTTTTGTTTTTAAAATAAATATTTCCGTTGTTAACTCAACGGATTCTTATATTAAAACACGTACTGAAATGCTGTTATTGATGTTTTCCATTCCCCAACAGTAAATTCAAGACATTCTCTGGCGATGACATCTGGAACGCTTTGAATGCGGCTGCAAGGGAAGCAAACAAGATTCCTCAGGGAGTGGACATCAAGACGATGACCAAGAGCTGGATTGAGAAAGACAGACTTCCTTTACTAAATGTGCAAAGAAATTATAACGATAATACCGCTGTTGTGACTCAGGTGAGACCTTAATTTAGTATGATATCGAACTGGGCACGTTAAATACGACAAAAAGTATTACATACTTAATTTGAATATTTTAGAAATGATTAAAGCACTTTATGTATGGTTATATAGTAATTTTACACATTCACCAACAGATTTTTTTATAGTTACACGTAATTTACATCTATGGAATCGTAAATAACTTATGTTGGTTACGTGTCTCAATAGTTCCATGCTCTAAAGATAGATGGCGCTACCTGTATATTTTTTACTATTGTTTCTTACGTGGTTGAAATTTATCTTATTGGACGAATAAAATAACTTAAATTATTAATGACACATTTTAAAAACTGAAGAGACACACTTTTTGTAGAAAGTATATCTTCGTGAAAGACCACATGACGTTCCCGAAGCTGCCAAGATGTCGTGGTGGTTGCCAGTGGTGATTGCCCAGGAGAGTACCTTGGACCTAAAAGACACTACTCCAGCAGCTTGGATGAAGGACAGGTCACCTCTCACCATCCCCAATATACCTGCTAAAGACAAGTTTATTATTGTCAACCCTGAGGAAATTGGTAAGTGATTGTGCTTAAACTACTAATGTAATAAACTACTTTTTTATGGGATAAGCCGGTAAATGAGCAGACGGATCACATGATGGTAAGCCATTGGCGTCGTCCATGGACACCTGAAACACCAGATGCGTTACAAATGCGTTGTTTTTTTTTGATATGGGAAAATTATCCAATAATTTCTCCCGCCCGGGTGAGGCGACAGGGAGTGTCACACCACACTCTTACTTTACTGACCAAAAACTTGGTCTGATGAACGCGACGCGCCGCTCGCTCGGGCGTTATAAGTGCGTTTACGGCTTTTTGGGGATTAGGAATTTGAGGAATGTCGAGGATTCAGGGATTGGGGAGATTGAGGAACTGTAGGGGGGATAGTTGGGCCTCCAATAACCTTACTCACACGACCAAGCAGAACGCAAGCATTAATTCACGCCGGTATTCTGTGAGGCCGTGGTATCACTCCGATCGAACCGGCGCATTCGTGCTGAAGCATGGCTCTCGCATACTACTACGCAAATGATGAGAACTATACTTAGCCGCGACTTAAAATTGAGTTGTCTTTCAGTAATCGGACGTATTACTTAAAAATATATATTTTCATTTTCCACATTAACAAATCCTTATAAAGCATCTACAGAAATATAACAAAATATTAAAGCCCCACCTAAGTATAACACCAAGCGTCCGACATTTAATTTTGAAACAGAATTGTAGAACGAAACACAAACTTCGCTACTAAAACCTCCTTTAATATATTTCAGAGTTTCTTTGTCTAAAGAGGAATAGAAATGGCCGAGTTTATTATTAACATGTCTTTGTGTTATCTTGACAGGAGCCAGAGTTAATTGCACCTCTGACTCCAATGAAGACAGTCCAATGCGCTTTGAATGAGTAAAGTTACATTGACGGTCTAAGGTTTTGTGTTTAAAATTGACGGGTTGTTACAATGGCGTGGGTAACCTTTGAGAATTTTAATGGATGATTTGAATATTTTAAATATTCATTGTTTTTATTTAAAAATCATGGTGGTTGCCCGGAGGTTAAGGCACTCGCTTCTCATGCATGAAGGCGCGGATTCGAAACCTACCAATGTGACTTTTTCCGAGTTATGTGTACTTCTTAAGATTATTTAGACACTATTGACAAAAGGTAAAGGAAAACATCGTGAGGAAACCTGAACTTATAATTTCTAATTACGAATTTAAAATCATAAATTTGGGCGTGGTGATTAATGTCGCCCCACCTTAGGATTTTCTCCTGTGTCGTGGGTGCGTTTACAAACATACAAGTTCACATACACAATGACACCCAGACCCGAAACAACAATTTGTGGATTGCACAAAGTGTTGTTCCGTGCGGAAATCGAACCCGCGACACGTTGCACGGTAGCCGGTTGCCCAGCCACCGCACTAATCGTGCAGTCAAACACTATCACACACGCATTAAAACTTAGTCTTCACTTTCAGAATCACCACATCCAAATTATTATTTAACTAGCTTCTAACAACAGTTTCTACTTCCAGCCCCCTACCCAGTAAACTATGACCAAGACAATTGGAATCTGCTATCCAACTTCTTGCAAAGTGATAAAAGGAACATGATCCCCGAGCTGACGAGGGCCAAACTTCTCCATGATGCATGGAATCTGGCGTACGCTGGTGAGCTGTCTTTCGTGACTGCCTTCAACATGACCCTGTTCTTGAAGAATGAGAGACACCATCTAGTGTGGGATCCTGTGTTCACCATGATCGATCATCTTGGTAGACATATTTGCCAATGTCTGCATGGAAAGTTCCAGGTATTTTTTTATATTGTTTATGAGTTCCTCATTTAAAACTGTAATTAATGATGGCTCGTAATATTAATAAGTACATTTTTTTTATGAGATAAGCCGATAAACGGGCAGACAGATCACCTGATGGTAAGCAATCGGCGTCGCCCATGGACACTTAGAACACCAGAGGCGTTACAAGTGCGTTACCAGCCTTTTGGGAATTAGGAGTTTGAGGATTGTGAGGGATTCGGGGTTTGGGGAGACTGGGGAAGGGGGTAATTGGGCCTCCGGTAACCTCACTCACACGACGAAACACAACGCAAGCGTTGTTTTACGTCTGTTTTCTGTGAGGCCGTGGTATCACTCCGGTCGAGCCGGCCCGTTCGTGCCGAAGCATGGTTTTCCCATATTTGATACATAAATAATAAAGAAAATAGTTTTTGTTATTTTTATGATATTATAAACCCCTCTCAAAGATTATCTCTTTATTATTCGATGCAAGTGATTACTATCAACTATGTTGTGTTCTATAACGTCAGCACTCCAGCGATTTAATAGTAAAACTTTTTTATTGGTTTTCATTATATGCAGAACAAAAGAGTATTTAAAACTTACATTGAAAATCAAGAATTTTATTACTTTTAGGCATACGTTCGCGTACTCCTGAGTCCTCTATATGAGGAGCTGGCTAAAGACGAGAAGGAGGATGAAGAACCTTGGCGCAAGCACCTCAGGTCACTGACGAAGACGTTCCTTTGCCAGGCTGGGTACAAACCCTGCATCAGGGACGCTCAGGAACAGTACAGCAAGTGGATGCAGGCTAAGAACCCTGATGAGGGAAATCCGTAAGTATTCAATATTACATAACATCACGCCTTTTATCCCCGAAAGGGTAGGCAGAGGTGCACATTATACCACTGTGCAATATAACACCCACTTTTCACTATTTATTTTATGAGTCCCATGTAATAGGGGGTGAGCCTATTGCCAGTGTATTCAATGTATCTATTTAAACATGAGATAGATTAGAGAATTCTGGGATTAGTATGAGATACTCAAAATTTTCACTTTAATATTTACGTTTTGTATTACGGCTGGTATGAAAACTAAAATTAAAAAGAAAAAGTTAGCAACTACGTCACGGCACTTTTATTTGAGTCACACTAGTCTGGTTTCTTAGCTGTAAGTATTATGGGTCCGTAGGGAAAGTGAGTGAAGCCACACGAAGCAACTAGCATTTATATCACAAAAGTTTTCATTTAAAAGAAGTTTAAAAATAACAATGAAAAGTTGTGATAATTATTCCAAAAATAAGTATGAAAGAAGTTAGAAAAATAATAAATTGGCAAAGTTTGGTCGAGGACCGCGTTAAATTTGTTCGTCTTGAGGCTCCGGCGTCTAATTGACTCACTTAAAAATTGTACGTAGAAAATTATTTTAATAATAAATCTGTGGTAGATATTTTTTGTGGCAAATGTGGGAACGAAGTGGGCACAGAGACGTTTTAGATTTCTTGCCTTCATTTGTACCAATAATGGGTGCATCTATGTATGTCTTACACACGAGTGGTGATGCAAATATCAAGCACCTTTGTTATAATATCAAAGCTTAAACAAGGAAAAGCATATAAAAAATTACCAATCCGGTGTCCAACCATTCCAAATGTGTCACAATTAATATATAGCACGTGACCTACAAAACATATCAAGTGGGCCATTTTCATTCCGCGAATGGGGAGTTGGGGACAAACCCCAAAAATGCGAGCATATATCTGTTTGATATCCATGACGTGTAAAATTTTGTCTGTTATCTTTTTAACCCTTTTGACGAATTGCTCATATTTGAATCCATTGACCTGATTATAAGGGATGTTACCTCAATATCTCTGAAAGAGGACAGCTGAGATGTGATACATTACAATGATAGGTAAATTACTCTTCATCAATTACGATCCCTTTTACAGGGACTGAGTTACTTTTTAGTCAGTAAGAATCTGACACTCCCTGTCGTTTCAGCCGGGAGGGAGAAGTCATAGAATGATTACCCCCCCTCAAAAAAGGGGTGTGCGTTATAAACTATTAAAAAATATAGGTAGGTAAAAGTCGCTCTGCCAGATAATAAGGTCTCTTTGCACAAGGGACAGGAATGAGTACAATCATGCTTATTCAAGGGGTACTAAGCCTTAATCATGACCTCCAAACTACAATGACTGAAGAAAAAAAACATTAAAGTCCCCTGAGTCGTACTCCATTCACTGACAGAAGTAACGTTAATACAGTAATGCAGAGCCCCTTACGTCCAGTTTCTATAACCTATCTGTAGATTTGCTTATTAGAGATAGAATTTTGACATGAGCTCCATACAAAAGTCACCAAAGCGGTTACACCCTGTATTGTCACGAACTTACCATACATTCAACAGTGGACTTCACAAAACATATTAACATTGTCATGTTTGTGTGTGTGTGTGTGTTCAGTGAAGCACATAATGATGTCTTCATAGTATTATTGTCTGATTGTTTGTTGACTGTTTTGTGTAGGGATGATAGTTCTGTTTCTGTTATAATGTGTTTGGTATAGTTAGGTATGGAATTAACAGACGTAAGGGTTGGGATAAGTTATGAATAAATTGTGAAAATAAATAATATAGGCTGTTTAATGGTAAAATATTGAAAAAATTCGTTTCTAGTTAAGGGTACCTATCTACATCAATAAAACAATAATGCATAACATAATTAAAAACATCCTATTAAAACATTCAAAATGATAGGTTACCTAATAATTTTATACATTTCGTACCAAATTCCATATACGCAATTAATAAACTGTTTTTTATACTAACCAGCCTAGCCAACCAGTATATCTGCCCAGTCTTCAAGTGGGGCACCATGAAGGAATGGGAGTTTGGTCTGCAAAGAGTGATTAACTTCCCTCCTTCGAGGAAGCAAAGTGAGAGGACCTATCTTCTGAAGACCTTGGCGGGATGCCCTGAATCAGAAGACAAGATTAACAGGCTCTTGAACATAACACTGCTTGAAGGCCATGCCAACTTCACGGAGACTGATGCGTTCTTAATCTTCAGCATGTTGACTGGATCTGCCACTGGTTACACGACGCTGTTCCACTTCCTTAGCAATAATTGGGACGTTTTGAAGGAGAGGTATGTATATTACAAGTGTGTTATGGAAGGTTAGGAATACAAATATCATAAAAAAATTAAAAAAGTGTCGAAAATAATGATCCTTCCTTCATATTGTTTACCTTAACCTCTCGCGTGTTTCTCGTACGAGAGAGTTGAGTGCCCATCGCGCAATTGTACACACGGGTGTACGAAAAACGCGCACCGATTGGATATTTTTTCTGTGACGTATATTTTCAAGTTTGCAACCCGTTCTTTATTTGATTGAAAAGAATAGTTAATTCGCTTTTCTATTAAAATATTTACCCATGTGTACGAGAACGCGCGTTTACCCGTGTGTACGAGAAGCGCGCGAGAGGTTAACTACTTTTCAGTGACAATGAAGTGGTTGCTATGTGCAATCCTATAAACAAATATGAAGGGTTAGCATTTTCGTAAGTTCAGCCCATTTAAGACAAAACTGTTATTTTCGATTTGACAATGTGGTCGAAGCCTTACGATAATCGCGTTTGCATCACTCAAAGGGTTTAGCTCAGAGTGCTCAGGTAGGGGCTGACTTAATGGCTATGCACCACAGCCGCCAATTTTCCTCATTTGCGTCTACCCCGTTTAGTTACTGCTCGATGCTCGGATATAGCGGGAATAGCGAGCCAAAACAAAGAGCAACTTCTAGTAAAGTTTTGCTTAGAGAGCTTGGACAGTGAGTTTAGAATTTTACTGGTTATTTATTCCAAGTTAAGAAGTCAGAATATCTAGTTAGTATTATTACATTCGTCTAATTTTATTCTCTTATAGCACTATAAGAAGCAATTGCTGTAGTATTGGATTAGTAAAATTCTTTTTTTTTATTAGATTAGCCGGGAAACGATCAGATGGATCACCTGATGGTAAGCAATCGGCGTCGCCCATGGACACCTGGTACATTAGAGGCGTTACCGGCATTCTGGGAATCAGGAATTTGAGGATTGTTGGGTATTCAGGGATTGGTGACAGGGGGACGGGGGCGTTAATTGGGCCGGTAACCACACTCATTTAACATTAAGATTGCAGATCACACTGATCAGAAACGGATTTTAAGTACGAAATGGCACGATCTTGCGAACATAAGCAGTTTTATTGCGTTTAATAGTATTCGTATACGCTATCAATCTTGTAATATAAAACACACAACTTATCCTACAGGTACTCAAGCAGAACCAACCTATGGGACAACCTGATCACATCAGCCACGTCACAGTTCACCACAGAGGAGGGGTTGGAACTGGTCTCTCAGCTCTACGTGACCCATCAAGGCCAGTTTGCCTCCGCTGAACACATCATTGAGAAATCCATGAGGAACATCAGGGAAGAAGCCAAGTGGTCAGCAGAAAACCTGCCCGTGATTGAAGCGTGGTTAGACAAGTACCTGGCCAGTAGTGACGTCAAAGATGACAAGTTTATCCACAAGTGATTGTATTGTATAATTTATTTAATTTAATATATTATTTTATTGTATAGGTTATGAGAAGTGTTTCATTTCGTTCCATTTTCGGTTGCAATTATGTTTTAGTGACTGGGGACATTATTTTTATCCTACATTTTTTTTAAAGTTTGCCCCACACTAGGATTATCTCCTGTGTCGTGGGTGCGTTTACAAACATACAAGTTCACATACACATGACACCCAGACCTGGAACAACAATTTGTGGATCACACAAAGTGTTGTTCGATCCCGCGACACGTTGCACGGCAGCCGGTTGCCCAGCCACCGCACCAACCGTGCAGTCAATTTTATTGAATGTTTATTGTCTTTATTTCAAAATTCTATGATCTATAGTTTATGGCGCAAGTAATGCGTATTGTTACAGTATTAACATCAACTTCTAAAATATAATGTGTCATGGGAGTAATCATAATTTCATTTAAATTACAAACAAAAAATATTTATAAGAGACTCAAGTAAAGTTTTACGAACTGTTCCTTGGTAGTACTAAAGTAGTACAAATCAAATTGTTTCCGTTAAAATGAACCCTGAGAACATTGAATGAATGGATGGAAATAAAAAGATCGGAATGTTTCTAAGAGATTTAAAAGAATAGTAGGAACAGTTGAACAAACATTTTCTTGCAGTTTCTGTTGTAACTAAAATATAAAATATTCTTTAATATGGCAATTATGAAGAAATTAGTCTGATAGAAAAAACTTTCCTACTCACTACTCACACTCTCACATAACATAACGCCTTTTTATCCCGCAGGGGTAGGCAGAGGTTCACATTACGGCACTTAATGCCACTGTACAATGTAACACCCAATTTTCACTATTTATGTAATGAGTCCCATGTGATAGGGGGTGAGCCTATTGCCATATACCGGGCACAATTCCAGACTCCGTGCTACTACTGTAATTTTTTGAAAAATCCAGTAATACTTTGCCCGGCCCGGTATTCGAACCCCTTGCCCGGCAGTCGTACTTGCGACCACACGTCCAACGAGACAGTCTACATACCCATGTACAAGGTAAAAAAAGAATGTAAACAATAAATTGATGAACATAAATGCAAACGTCAGCACTACTAACGCCATCTAGATTGTGTAGCCGGAAACTTTACATCACAGTTAATAAATCATCGACTTTAGTAGACCCTGACCTTATATTTACTAACTTTAGTTTTTATAATCATTCAATGTAAGACCTACAAAATAACTGGGTATTCTCAAATAAACAATAACACGAGTATAAAAATGTGATTTATATCTAATATAATTTTGAGTTTGTTACGCAAATCATCGAACTTTAAACCAAGTGACCTTTGTGATAATATTTTCATCGGCTCCAAACATTCTAAGAACTGATTCCTGGTATTAAAACATAACGGCGTTAGTGATAACCTTTATGACAGTCAAGGGTTGGTCATACTGGTTTTAATCTTGTACTATTCAAATAGATTATGTTCAACAGATTTTCTTTCAGTAAAGTTTCTTTTACGTCGGCCATTCTGCATAGTAGTGTAATAAATCGAAGATCAAGTTTACAATATATCAGACTCAGTTGTACATACCATAAATCGTTTCGACAGATTTTGACAATTTGTAAAAAATAGTTGCGATAAGTTTTTAGAATTTGGTGATCACTGATCAAACAAACTGACTGCCTCATTGGCCGAGTGGTCGCAAGTGCAACTGTCGATTCCCGGGTCGGGCAAAGTATTATTGGGTTTGTAAAAACTTCCGTAGTAGCACGGAGTTTGGAAATGTACCCGGTATATGGCAATAGGCTCACCCCCTATTACATGGGACTCATTACATAAATAGTGAATAGTGGGTGTTACATTGTATAGTGGCATTAAGTGCTGTAGTGTCCACCTCTGCCTACACCTTCGGGAATAAAAAGCGTGATGTTATGTTATGTGATCAAATAAACAGAAAACATTTTCTTATTTTTTTCTACCATTTCAGTACAATAAACTGGTCATTTACATAATCAGTTTCGTTCTCACAATCACTTTAGATTCTCTCACCTTTTTATTGATCTAGTAGAAAAAATGTTCTGATCTAGTTCAATTTATTATGTAATCTTTCACTTTACATTGCAGTGTGAACAACGCTTAATGTCCGTAACATCTTGTAATCCACGCTCGAGTGAGACTGGCCTTTAGGGCGTGAGGTTAGGATATTATGTATTACAGCTCTTTACCGTATAGTGACGACAGAGTACAGTGAGTAGCAGTGGTTTTTAAAGACCTAATTAATTATGTGAGTCGCCTTACGATGTAACTTTGTAGTTTAAATGACCTCTGAGCTTGTTTCGGAGTTTCTTCTCAGAGTAGTCAGTCAAGAAAAGCCAGCGCCCATCTAGTAAAAAAAGATAAAAATGAGACATGTAAAAGTGGTAACCCATTTGCTTAAATTTCATTTCATTTCATTTCATTTCAAGCAAACCGTTGAACTGTACAGTTTTACGAGAAGGTGTGTAGTCAGTATGGACCTACGATTATTGTTTATTATTTTAATAATATTTATTTATCTTTATTGCCTATAGTCCTGTTAGGTTTCTGGATGTATTATAGATAAAACAAGCTCACTATTTAGATGTTCTTTAGTTAATAATTTTGTTTAGTTAAAGTGTTTTGATAAAGTTTTTATTACTTGACTTAATTATTTAACCCATATTGTTTTTTAGTTACCTGTTTCTCTTTATATTTAAGTAGGTACCTTAAGATTGAATTTCCAGCATGTGACTGGTAGTCAAATAGACCAATGAAGCAGTAAGATTGCAAAACTACTAAATATAAAACTAATATCTGAAGCACCAAAACTAAAACCTATGCCACATCTACGTATCTCTATGTGCACTCGACTTAAGTTTAATCAGTGGGAAACCCACCGTTCAAATTTAATCCTTATCTTGCGAGGACTAGGTACAGATTCATTTGGAGTAGTTTTCCTCAAGGGTACGTTGGGATGAAATTTGGGCATATAGTTATTAAAGTTTGGGTTCTCATTGCATCAAGTCGTGCCTGTCTGGCGAAGTGAGGTCGGCTGCATGTAAACATGTTATTTATCCTTGCAACCAATATGAATTCTACAGTTTTTGATTAATGCTGTGGTAAATATAACAACCACAAACATATGTCTATGGATTGTCAGTATGCATAATTATGTGAGCACCATTTATTTTATTTATTTATACTTTATTGCACACACAGAAAAAAAATTGTAAACATTGCAACAGTAATTTAAGTACAATGGGCGGTCTTATCACACACCATGTTAGACATAAGATTTTTATTTTTTTAATTTTAGTAAGTTATTTGTATAATGCGTCAAGCTTGTCTTTGCATTGTTCTAACATATGCGTACAGTATTGAAATATGTATCAGAGACATTGTAGAACATACTTCTTTTAAAAAAGAGTAACGAATGGAGTTTCTTCCTCGTTCTTCTCCATTCGAATCTACATTTTGGAATAAGCACCTAGCTTCACCTAATTTCACTGACGGACTGACTGACAGATTATTTATTTTGTATTTGTTGACGTTTCAAAAGTACCAAACTATGGTTTAATTGAAATAAATGCTTTGACTTTGACATATATTTATTTGCATTTAGTTCATAATACATACTTAATTTAATCTTATTATTTAACTATTTTAGGTATATTACAATACAATGCCTGTATAGAATTAAATTTCTACAACAGGCGTTACAGTTGCGTGCATTATATACCTCTATATTATTAGGATATTATTACTAAGCCTTAACAATATTATTTTCCATAAAATACTAATATTATAAATCATACGTAAACTGCCTCGTTGGCCGAGTGGTGGCAAGTGGTCGCAAGGGGTCTCGGGATCAAGGGGTTCGATTCCCGGGTCGGGCAAAGTATTACTGGGTGTTTAAAAAAAATCTCAGTAGTAGCACGGAGTCTGGAAATGTGCCCGGTATATGGCAATAGGCTCACCCCCTATAACATGGGACTCATAACTAAATAGTGAAAAGTGGGTGTTACATTGTATAGTGGCAATAAGTGCCGTAATGTGCACCTCTGTCTACACCCTTCGGGAATAAAAGGCGTGATGTTTTGTATACGTAAACATAAGGTAGGAGACACTAAATATATTATGTTATCACACCGAACCCATAAATGTGATTAAAAACATTTTGTCTGTCTGTATGTTCACGCATCACGCAAAAACTACTGGTCCAATTACGATGAAACTTGGTATGATTATATTTTAATATATTGGGCACAACACTGGGTACTTTTTATTCCAAAAAAGTATATACATACATAAAAAAAATAACTTAATTGTCAAGCTTTAGACAGAGTTACTGTACCAAACGCAAATATAAGTTTGTCGAATGTTAGGTTGCCCGCAGTGGACCTGACGCTGTAACTGTGCGGCCGATGGTTTAGCTATAACCGATATTATACATGTGAAAATATGTGACTTTTTTATGGGATAAACCGGTAAACGAGCAGACGGATCACCTGATGGTAAGCAATCGGCGTCGCTCATAAACACCTGGAACACCAGAGGCATTACAAATGCGTTACAGGCCTTTCGGGATTAGGAATTTGAGGATTATTGGGGATTCAGGGATAGGGGTGGGGCCTCCGGTAACCTGGCTTACACCAACGAAAGTGTTGTTTCACGTCGGTCTTTTGCTCGGAGCCGGCCCATTCGTGTTGAAGCATGGCTCTCCCACACTTTATGCTTTGTTACTCAGTCAAATGAAAACGGGTGAAGGTACCAGGATGAAATTTGAAACAGATGTAGATTAACATAACAGAAGAATAACAGAAGCTAGTGTTTGTATAATTTTATTACTCCTGTTCTTTTTGTGAGTGTTATAAGAGCCGACTAAGGCACTGCACGTTTGACAATGCCTGCACAACAGCGCTCTCTGATAAACCTAGTAAAAACTCTTTTATTGTTCATAAGGTTATTTTATTTTTCGATCTCTTTGACTTGATTTTGATCTTAAATTGTTCTGGCACAATCGAACCAACAAAACTATGTATCTAGAGAATTGTATTGTGGAACTGATTGAAAAAGAGTAACCTATGGAGTTTCTTGTTCATTCTTCTCCATAGGAATCTATCTACACCTTGGAATGAGCAAATAGTTTGAATTTTTTGCTAACGTTCAAAAGTGCCTTCCTGGTCTAACTGAAATAAATAGTTTTGACTTTGACTTCTCATGTAGAGGAAGTTCATAATCTAGCAGTTACTCATTACAGGCTGAATAATCATGGACGTGGAAAGAGACTCAAAGACCAAATAGCCTATGTACACTGAATCATCATTAACAACCTATAAGTGCCCACTGCTGAGCAAAGCCTCTTCTCACACGGAGAAGGTTTGAGCATTGAGCATTAATCACCACGCTTGCTCATTGTGGGTTGGCGATTTCAAACTTATACCTCTAATTACAAATAATAAGTCCTAGTTTTCTCACGATGTGTTCCTTCACCGTTTGTCAGTGGTGTCTACATTATCTTAGAAAGTACATACATATAAATCAGAAAAAGTTACATTTGTACTTGCCGTTACTAGGTTTCGAACCCTTAGGTATGCATGAGAAGCGGGCGGCTTAACCTTCGGACCACCTCGACATTGTGTACACTAAATAGTTTCTTGCTAACGGGAAAAACCCAAGAGTGACGTAGAATAAGTAACTATTCGTAATACAAGTGGTCTCGACGAATAATGATAAAGCTAATTTTAGCTATTACATAGCTTGGTGTTCAGCTATAGGCTCTTCATATTGACAAAAAGTTGTTATTCATTATTTAGATTCTAATTTAAAGTACTTATAATTTACCGCAACTACAACTTAATAGTTGTTGAGATTCTCGGAATCGAATGCGTAATAACTTAAAACAACTTCATCGAGTTATCATAGTGACATTACCGGGGTGGACACACGGTCGATTACAATGACCAACAAAATACAAATTGTAAGAAAAAGAAGCTCAACTAAGTTATTTTTTCATCTCTCTGAAGGAGTTTAAAATAAGTGTTTGATTCAGTTATGTCGGAATACTGAAAGGTTACTCAACTTTAAGTCGTGCTTAAATATCGTGCTATCTCCATCATTTTACAAAGAATTTGTAGAGACAGAACGATACTTAAGCGCGACGTAAAATTGAGTAGCGTTTGAGTATTCCGACATTAGGCTATTAGGTAAGATGTTAATTCGAACTGTCAAAATGAGTTCCATCGCAATCTCGCCCGTCATTGGTCGAAATTATTTTCACAATAAAAGTTCACTTCGAGAGTTCGAATTGACATATTACAGAATAGCCGAGCTGTCCACAAATTATGAAAATAAGAACAAAAATAAAAATTCAAATACCGTAAATCATAAAGGTCTTTTCCCCGAAAAACATAAGATTGTGTCAACTAGCGTTCCATGGTCTCTTCCTACCCTTACGGGCGACAGGCGAGAGTTTATGTATGTATGTATGTATCTATGTACGTATATGTATGTCAACTATATTAATAAGTTAAATTTCTTTACAACTTAGAAATAAGGAAAAAATAAATATGTACAACTTAAAATACACTAAAACGAATAGAGAAAGTTAATGAGCTCCAAACAAGATGTCCTTTAAATTAGATTAACAATCTTATACTTACTAGTGTTTGTGTTTTTTCTTTGATTTAAATTCTCCATTCTATTCGTCTGTAAATCACATTATTTGTGTCACAAGTTCACGATAATCATTCCGAGTGACAATTACAAATCATTAGTATTCCAGTGAGTGTGTACAAAATGTGTTATTTCGTGTTGTTATTCGGTAAGATTATTATATTTTAATAAAATAATTAGAACAATTATTATTTATTTTCCTGTTATTGTTAGAGAAGTGAAGTATTGAGATGATGTTTTAATCTTATACTTCTTATACTATCATATAAAGCGGGAGAGTTTGTTTTTTTGTTTGAACGCGCTAATCTCCGTAACTACAAGTCTGATTTGAATAATTCTTTTTGTGTTGGATAGCGAAGTTATCGAGGATGGCTATAGGCTATAAAACATCACGCTACGCCTAATAGGAGCTGAGCAGAGCGTGTAAAACCGCGCGGAAGTAGCTAGTGACATAATAAGTGTTTTTGAAAATATTCTATATTTGTTTTAATCCCATTAAATTAGTGTTTGAGTTTGAAAAATCATTAATATGATATTTTTCCTAGTTAGTAATAATAATAAGCCTATTTATAGAAATAGAACTGTAGAGTGTGATTTAAATTATTTCAAATTTTGTAGGTATGTATTTTGGTTAATGTTTATATTGACATCTCATGCATTGTTAATAACATTTAGATCAAAATGGAATTATTTTAAAATAGAATTTTATGTAATCTGTGTCTTTAAACTCGACAATAGCCATAATTTTGTGGAATTTAGACCCAGAGCAGTAAAAAGAAGTATTATAATTATCTGTAGGTCTTTTTTTACATACATTGTCATAAAAACTGTGACCTACAATATACATACGAACAAGAATCCAACATCATAATCACCAATTCATACCAAGAACAATTCAAAGATTAAAACGAAAACATTCACCCTAATCGCTTCTTAAGAACTTTCAATTTGTATGAAAGCTAAATATTACAAAATCTTCGCTCCAAACAATAATAAGTCAGTATTTTGTTCCACCTAAGATGATTGTTGACTGAGCATTCTTGAATAGCAATGAGCTCCATAAGAAGGTATAAATAATGTATATGAGGGCTCTGCACCAAGCCAGAATATTTTATTTCACTTCAAATCGAAAGTTATGAAATTCTGAAGATTGAGATGTCTGTAGATTGTTTATTTAAGTGAGTCTCCTTTGATAATAATGATGAAGTAGCTGGATGTTGTTAATGATGGATTGAGTGGTATATTTTGTAGATGATAAGATCCCAGGATTGTTTATATTTTATTATATTTGATGGGCCGACGTTTGACCACTATCTCGCCTGGTGGTAAGCGATGATGCGGTCTACGATGGAGCACATCGTCCCATAAGCAACCTATGGGTGATGACTTTGAGCCGGAGCCCTGGTAACCCGTTAGGTTTTCTACGACTCCGTATCGGCATCGGCCCTATTGGGCTCCATCCTTGGTGGTCTGATGGCTCTATGAGCGCGCGGAACGCGTCGCGCCGTATACAAGTCGAAATGAGAAAGTTCTTTTGTTTGAAGATGGTTAAATATAATACATTTTTATTGCTATGTTCCAGTACTCTCCCTAGTGGGCATCTCATCATGTGAGCCAGCCAAAATAATCGGGTCCTGCCCCCCGACGCTGCCCGTGGACATTTGTGACCCAACATGTGGCACCGAGTCTCCGTGCACCAAGCCTAAGCAGTTGTGTTGTCCTACTGCCTGTGGGGGAGCCATGTGTGTGGACGCTGTGACGCAGAGGCATTTTGTGGACGTAGGTTAGTTGAAGTACTTAAGTGTTGAATTATGATGTCATTGGTGCTGGAATAGTGGCGAAATTAACTTATTCGTCGTACATATTTATTAATCACAATTATGGCTATTAAATGGTCATTTGGCACGTTTTGCTTAAGAATTAGCAAAGTATATTATATATATAATAAAAAAAAGTTACCACTAGGATTTTTTTTGTGTTGTGAAACATACAAATTCACATACACAACGACACCCAGACCTGAAACAACAATTTGTGGATAACACAAACTGTTGTTCCGTGCGGGAATCGAACCCGCGACACGTTACTCGGCAGCCGGTTGCCTAGTCATCGCACCAACTGTGCAGTCTTGATCATTATTGAGTCCCTTGGGAGCAAAATTCTTTAAAGTAACAAGTATGGTGAAGTTGCATACTTGCTCTATTCTTATAAGGCGATAGTGATATCATACTACATTTTGGGTTGCGAACATACTACCGTATGTTCATTAACATAAGGTTTAATTTTATCCGAAAATAACTCAATTTTTCAAATATTCCAGTGAAGCCAGGCCTTTGTCCAGAGCAACCACGAGGAGCTTGGGTGTGTACTGACATGTGTACAACTGACTCCGACTGCCCACGGGCCCTCAAGTGCTGCCCCAACCGGTGTGGAGCATACATGTGTCAGAAACCCGACGTGGACCCAGCACAACCAGCTGCTTAGAAAAGTAAATACAATTAAAATAAGTCTGTTGTTTTATTTACTAAAATATTTACATAACATAACATAACATCACGCCTTTTATCCTCGAAGGGGTAGGCAGAGGTGCACATTATACCACTGTATAATGTAACACCCACTTTTCACTATTTATGTTATGAGTCCCATGTAATAGGGGGTGAGCCTATTGCCATATACCGGGCACAGTTCCAGACTCCGTGCTACTACTGAGAATTTTTTTAAAACCTAGTAATACTTTGCCCGACCCGGGAATCGAACCCGAGACCCCTTACCCGGCAGCGAGCTTTAATTGCGTAACTTGTTAATTTTAAAACCAAGAATACACTGGGGGACAAACATCTTACGACATGTGTCGCCAGCGACGTCGGGTGAAGTAGCGCGACGTTGCCAGACTTTGGTCGACACGACTTGAAGAGCCAAGCTTCGGCACGAATAGGCCAGCTTGACCAGAGTGATACCACGGCCTCACAGAAAACCGACGTGAAACAACGCTTGCGTTGTGTTTCGTCGTGTGAGTGAGGTTACCGGTGGTCCAATTACCTTCCCCTCCTCCCCAGTCCCCCGAATCCCCGAATCCTTCAAAGATCCTCAAATCCGCAATCCGCATCGCAATCATAACGCACTTGTGACGCCTTGGTGTTTTAAGTTCCTATGTGCGGCGCCGATTACTTCCCATCAGGTGATCTATCTGCACGTTTACCGGTTTATGCCATAAATAAGTCAACGTCGCATCACTGTGAACTTAAGTTGTTGCCATATCGATATGTCAGATGAAATCGGCCAGCTTCGCTTTATATGTCGCCGATACATGCCTTTTTTTTTTAAGGGGTGAAAATCATCGAAATACTGCCGCCTGGGTGAGGCGGAAGGGAGTGTCAGACTCTTACTGACTAAAAACCACCCCGTTCAGGGATGTTTGTCTCCTAGTGTATCCTTGGCTTAAACATCAATATAACTTAATAATTTAAGAAAATGTTAAGGATATCCAGGATTTTAATTTGAATTTTTTTCGAAGATTTCCATAGTGTTTCAATGTTAAGATGTTAGTTTTAATCTCAATATCTACAGGCGTTAAACCAGGAATAACCTCGGGGTCAATCTGACAAACTTACGCCACCTGACCAGTCACAATTGAGAAATGAACTTTATATATCCGAACATAAAACACAGAGCCACAGAGCATAAAACACAATTGCTTGAGTGGCTCAATGAGTATCCTACACTGTATTGTGTAATTTATTTAATATATAAACGAGTAAAAATTAAACAATCAATCAGGGTGTAAAATATGCACGAATAATCCAAGCGGAATTACTTCGAATTTATTGCAATTACCGAGTAGTAACCAACGCCATCTAGTTTTTGCGTACTCAAACTTTACGTTAAACTGAATAATTCTGCCGCGGAGGACTTAACGGGTTGCCGGGGCTCCGTATTAAAGGACCGAGGTAGGAACGAGGTGGTTTTTAGTCAGTAAACATCTGACACTCCTTCCCGCCTTACCTAGGTCATTCGATAATTTTCTCCGCTTAAAAAAACCTAATAATTCCCTTATAAACAATGTTTAATTAAATAAACCGACTTCAACCTCCTCTTCTTGGAAGTCGGCTAATTTATAACCCTTCTCCTAAGTATAACAATCACTTTTCTGAAAATCGCATCTAAATCGGTTCAGTAAATCGCGAGATAATGGCGCACAAACATACATACATACAGGTCAAAGTGCAAACCTTCTTTTTGACGTTGGCCAAAAGAGTTCTCGATCGTTTAGTTTTTACATAGAAACGAACGCGCAAAAAGTAATCACGCTGATATTAGCAGAATGAACACACAGTCGACAAATATAGCCAACATCAATAAATAGGGGAAAGTCCCTTAACGCCGGACGGCACCTCGCGCCGGACACTTGAATTATCTCGATAACTGATGACACGAGCGATTCAATTTTTACCAAAAATCTTAGATGTCTGCCACTGGGAGACTTTCCACTAAAAATTGAATTGCTCGCGTTATTAGTTACCGAGATAATACAAGTGTCCGGCGCTAGGTGCCGCCCGGCGTTAAGGGAATTGACTTATAGTGATTATGTTGTGACGTGTATTATGTCGTGTGTACGATCGTCGCGCATGCTGTCCATGATTGTGAACTCCAATAGTTGTTGGAAACTAGTCGAGGATCTTCCTCGAACACTTATGTATGTCAATAATTCATAATGCCTATTATTTGTCTATGCATAGCATCTTCGTATAAGCGATTTTACTGAATTAAAAGCAAGTCCCTTATTTATAAAAACATGCTTTATTTTATACTTTTATAAGAACCCGAGTTCATATGTTTTATGCAAAAAAAAATATAGTTAAAATTACATCGATATTTCTGGAAGTGAGTAACAATATGAAATACATCTAAGCGCAGGAGAAGGAACGGGTTGGTTTTTAGTCAGTAAGAGTCTGACACACCCTTCCGCCTCACCCAGGCGTGAGCAGTCATTTGATGATTTTCCCCCCTTAAAAAAATATCGCTACATTAGCCCTAAAACCATGTCTAGACGTCTAGTGTTCAGATAAAATAACCTGTTGAGTGTCTGGGCAATATTTACTAAGTACAGTGGCCAGCGGATCAATCTACTGCAATTTGTTAAATCTATTCATTGGATTTTCGACTTTATGCCAATACATTAAAGTTGAATATGTAACAGAGATATTTGACAGAAATGTATAATCGACCTGTTGTTTACCGTATCTAGGTAGTCTAAGAACTAGGGTAGGGTTTTCGAAAGTTAAAAGGATCGATATTAAAAGTGTGTAGTTAGTAGTATAACATAACATAACACCTTTTATCCCCGAAGCAGGTAGGCAGAGGTGTACATTATAGCACTGTACAATGTAACACCCACTTTTCACTATTTCCTATAACTACTAAGCCTATTGCCATATTCCAGACTCTAAGAATTTTAAAAAAACCCTGTAATACTTTACCCGACCAGCGAATCGAACCCCAGACCCCTTGCCCGGCAGTCGCAGTTGCGACCACTCGGCCAACGAGACAGTCAGGAAATTCGTTTATTTACACGAATATTGACTACTCTCCAACTTATTTGTCTGTAAATCACATTATTTATGTTTTACATTTGCGATTATATTATTTTTGTGCATTACATTACATTGAGTGCCAATTATAGATTATAAGTGGTCCACTGAGTGCGTCCAAAATGTATTATTTTTTTATATTACTTGGTAAGTTCATTTTTTACTTTGCCATTGGTACAATGCTTATGGCTCGCTTATTGGTAAATGGTTACTGTAGCCTATGTACACGTATAGTATCAGAGGCATTAAGTACTGGTGCGTAGTTGACTATGTAGGAATTTATTTATTTGAGCCATCAAATTTGAGAAGTCTTTCCAATAATGATGGCACTCAGACGAAACACAACATATCTGTAGAGTTACACTTAGCAGTTAGACTGTACCACTAAGGAATGTTGTATATTTTAAGAAATTTTAGTTTTTTTTATGGCATAAGCCGGTAAACGAGCAGACGGATCACCCGATGGTAAGCAATTGGCGTCGCCCATGGACATCTGGAACACCAGAGGCGTTACAAGTGCGTTCTCGGCCTTTTGGGGATTAGGAGTTTAAGGATCGTTGGGGATTCAGGAATTAGGGAGATTGGGGAAGAGGAGGGTAATTGGGTAACTGAGGTCATACAGAATAAATAATATTTAAGCGACTATCAGATAATGCTCCTGGCATATAATTGTTATGACCTGGGATGTGTTGAAGGGCTGTTTTTGTGTCAATTTCTTATCAGCAAACACAAATGACAATTAAAGTTGTCAGAAACCAAAGAAAATATTTCTGATAATGCATTTATAACTATTTATTTAAATCCTGGAAATAATATTACTAATTAGTAGTTGCTGTTAACAACGCAATACAAAATTTCAAGATAACAAAGTGCAAATCTACTTTCTTATGACCTTCTGAGTTTAAGACTGATAAGTTAGTTTTAAATGCTAAAAATGTAACTGTCTCAAGCGGGAATTAAACTTGACTCACTTGTTTTTAAGATACACTAGCGAAAGACATACAATTTTCATAACGTCACGCCTTTTATCCCCGAAGGGGTAGGCAGAGGTGCACATTATACCACTGTACAATGTAACACCCACTTTTCACTACTTATGTTATGAGTCCCATGTAATAGGGGGTGAGCCTATTGCCATATACCGGGCACATTTCCAAACTCCGTGCTACTACTGAGAATTTTTTAAAAACCCAGTAATACTTTGCCCGACCCGGGGATCGAACCCGAGACCCCTTGCCCGGCAGTCGCACTTGCGAACACTCGGCCAACGAGGCAGTCAATTTTCATAATCCATATATTTTGTGTGTTCCAGTTCTGTCCTTAGTGAGTATTTCGTCATGTGATCCAGATAAAACCGGTTCTTGCCCCCCAAGCCTGCCAGTGGACATTTGTGACGAAACATGTTTAAGTGAAATTCCGTGCTCCAAACCGAAACAGTTGTGCTGTCCCACAGCTTGCGGGGGAGCCATATGTGTCGATGCTATGACGCACAGGAATAAGGTAGATGAAGGTTAGTTTGGACATCAAATTTAAGTTTTTATATGTAACTAGCTTCTGCCCGCGACTTCGTACGCGCAATCCCGTTCTTTCCCGTTCCCGTTCGTGATTTTCGGTAAAAAGTAAAAAAAAATTCGATGTAAAAGTATCTATGTCCGGCTCCTGGTTCTAATCTACCTCCCCACCAATTGTCATCCAAATCGATGAAGCCGTTCTTGAGTTACAAGTAGTGTAACTAACACAACTTTTTTTTATATATATAGATTAATCATTACTCACTAACGCGACTATTGTGTGTGACATGTCGTGGTGGCCTGGAGGTTTAAGACGCCCTGCATGAGGGTGCGGGCTCGAAACCTACCAACGGCAAGTACTAATGTGACTTTTTCCGAGTTATATGTCCTTACTAAGATTATTTGACAAACGGTGAAGGAAAACATCGTGAGGAAACCTAGGCATATAATTTCTTATTATAAGTTTGGAATCACCAACCCGCATTGAGCAAGCGTGGTGATTTATGCTCAAACCTTCTCCATGTGTGGCTTTGCTCAGCAGTGGGCATTTATAGGCTGTTGATAAGATGATGAGATGAACGCGACTATTGAAATAGATAATGAAATGAAATTGGACCATCATTGGGGAGCAATTCTCTTGCAATTTCTCTGGTTCATCTGCTAATTATTTCCTCTGATCTTCTCCCACTAAACTACTACTTTTTTTTTCAATATTTCAGTGAAACCAGGTCTTTGTCCAGAGAAACCTCGTGGTCCTTGGATCTGCACAAATATGTGCACCAGTGACTCAGACTGCAGACGTGTCCTCAAGTGCTGTCCCAACCGATGTGGAGCATTCGCCTGTCAGAAACCTGATGCACCACCATCAGATGGTTAAACAATTATATTGGTAGAAAAGACGTGTGTTGTTTAATTTGTGAGATGTTATCAAACAAGGTATACAATACTTTTATAAATTTTATATTGAATTTAAATGTTAAAACGCCTGAGATATGTATTGATTTTATTAATATTATTGTAGTGGTAATGGTCGAGTTAGATGTATAATATAGGATGTTGTTTAAAGAATAAATTAAACACAATGGCGCAAGAGTGTTTAATATTATGGTCGTTCATTCTGCAAGATACTCGCATCTTAATAATATTCTAGTTCAGCTCTTGAACTGAATTAACAATGCTTGTACTAAATTAACTGTTGACTTAGTTCAGTTAATGAAGTGTCAGTTAGATACAGGCAATACACAAAATACTTATCTATTAATTAACATATTTAAATTCAAAGCATTTACAATTTCAATATATTAATACGAGATAAATTTTACAGCAGTGACATACGACTAATAAGTTACTTTTAGTAATAAAAAAGTACAATTGTTTCTACTTGATAGCATTGCAACAGTTTAACAAAACAAAAAATCAAAAACATTTGCAGCCATTATAAGAAGAAGGATTTTGATAAATTATAATCGTAGCAACCTGCTACGCTTTCTGTAGCAAAAAGCCTACGCGGCTACGGCGTAGCTAATTCACTCCATAATTCCTTGTTCTCTACTTTCAATTTCACTCTAATGCGTTCCTGTAAAATATGAAAATTGTTTTTTCCAACATTACAAATGTGAATGTTTCACTTAAATTATGATTAAATAGGAAGTTTAAGTAAGATTTGTTGTTCGAAATCTCGGTGTAAAGTTTTAATAAACATTGTTTGGCAAGAAAATAATTGATAGAATTTGTATTCGTAATATGATCCGATTATATATGTAGGTATTTGTTTATATTCTCTTCTACACAGTGTCATGTATGTGGCAACTGATGTAAAGTATAATAATTTCAAAATAGTGTATTGGTTTTGATTTTTTTTAAATATTCATGATGTCTTTATGGTTAAGTTCGGGCAGTTTTATGAGAACCGCGCTCTGATAATAACAGATCTGTTAATCCATAATTAGTAATATTGAGAATGTTTTTTTTCTTATTCCATTTTGTACGCGCCTACTTCAATACGCATAGCAATTCGTCGTTAGATGATTTACGTCTAGTTAAATTATTTTTATATGACATTTATTTTTACAATCTTCAACAGCGGGTAGATTGTTGCACCAGTCTATTCTACTACCGATTTCGAACAGTCACCATCTCTGCTTTTTTATGTCTCCAAAAATTATTGTAATATACATAATTCTAAAGTTCTTTTGAGTTTCACTAAAGAAATTCCATTCTTGTGCGTAAACAAGAAATTTGGCGACCGTGACAGGACATTTTCTACAAAATTACAAAATCGGTGACGAGCAACTCAATACTCGGCTACTGCAGATTTCCAAAGGAAACTAAATTTGAAGGCGATTACCACTCAAGCAACCAGCCTTGACTTCCTGGCTTGCGAACCAGCTAAAGGTAGTACCGGAAAGTCGTCGAGGTGCATCATCATCAATGAGATAAGTGCCATTCCTTTGTTCCAATCTAACCTCATCTTACTACAACCTAGTACCTAATTCCTTTCTAAAATACACTTACTCCACTATTAAGCCTTTATTTGTGCATTTCTTTCTGATTTATACGTCTTTATAGTGCAAATAAGTGTATAAGTAAAATAACTTACATATACCGTCAACTATAATGTCCAAAGATTTTCTTTTCTAAATTCAAGTTCTGATTTGCCACTTAATTGCTATGTCATTAATATTAATTTAATATTATTCCTTTGCCATAAACCCTACATCGATTTAATCGATATTTTCAAATTTTTAAGTCGATTTGCCGAAATTTCCAGGCGTTATCCTGAGAACTCAGTTACTCGACCAGGCTGCTGCCAAATACGTCACTGCTCGTTTTGCTGACTAAGGTTTTGCAGCCAGCCGATGCCAGCTTCCCAAGGGACCTCACCGAGAGGAGGAGCGTGAGAATTCATTTTATTTCTTCTACTGTTTGGTCATACATAACCAGTCGATATTTCATTTTGGTGCAGTATAATACTAGAATTGTACAATCAAAATACATTTTTTGTTCAATTACGTAGTAAGCAAATATTTTTACAAATATGCAAGAGGGTAACCAGAAATATCCCGTGCAAGTGTCTCTAAAGGAACTGCTAGCAAAACGTAGTTCAATTAAGGGACAAATAACGAAATTCAAAAATTATTTAGCTAACATCAGTAAATTACCAGAGTTATCAAATATAGAAGTTGCAGAGTTAAATTTAAAATTAAATAAATTGCAAGCATTATCGACAAGGTTTGATGACTTGCAGACAGAGATTGAGGTTTTAAATGCTTCAAATATCTTAATGGAACTCGATGAGCGTGAACGCATTGAACAAGAACTAGTTCAAAATATAGCTATAGCTAAGACGGAATTGCAAAAATATAGTAATGACGATGAGTTTCCGCGCCGTCAATCTATTATTGTTAATGCGGACACTAATCATCAAAATGTGGGTTTTAGATTACCAAAAATACAAATTTCGAAGTTCGATGGATCACATTTCCGCTGGCTCGAATTTCGGGACACATACGTTAGCTTAGTTCACAATAATGATCGCATTCAAGACATACATAAATTCCATTACTTAGTTTCTTATTTGGACGGTGACGCGGCACGCATTATAGCAAATCTTGAAGTATCGTCCGCTAATTACAAAGAAGCTTGGAAACAGGTTTGCGAGCGTTATGACAACAAAAGAATTCTTATCAACCATCATCTAGATTCATTAATTAATATTCAAGCAATAACTCGCGAATCAGATAAATCCCTTCGATATTTGGTTGATAATGTAACTAAAAACTTAAGAGCTTTAAACAATCTAGGTTTACCAACTGACCACTGGGACATGTTGCTAATATTTATTTTATCAGTCAAACTAGATAGTCGAACTATATTAAAATGGGAAGAATATCGCAACGCTTTGAGTGATGTGCCAACCTTACAACAATTCAATAAATTTTTAATTGACCGCGCTGATGTATTGGAATCGTTTAGCCATAATAAATGTATAAACAATAATAATAACATTTCCAAATCACCACAAATTTCACGTCTTTCGCAATCTAACACTCAAGCTCAATCCTTTAGCAACAAACATTCTTTTAATAAATCACTTCGTTATCAAAAGGGTACTAATGTGTTTACATCCACTTCACAAACTCGAAATAATATTTGTTATCTTTGTGTAGTGTGCAATGGAAATCATAGGATATATGATTGTCCAACCTTTAAATCAAAATCCATTAAGGAGAAAATGTCATGTATAACTCAGTACAAATTGTGTAGTAACTGTTTGCGTCAAGGTCATCCTACGTCAGAGTGCGGCATGGGTTCATGTCGGCATTGCAACCAAAGGCACAACACGCTTCTTCACGATCACAGCTCATTATCTAATTGCAGTACAATAGACATAATCAATAATAATACTAATGAGACCGTAGTGACTTTTTCTCAACACAATAATAAATATGTTCTTTTATCTACAGCGATCATCGAAGTTTACAATCCTTTGAATAACAAATCGGAAAAGGTTCGTGCGCTTTTAGATAGCGGCAGCCAATCCACTTTTATAACTAAATCTCTGCAACAAAAACTAGATTTAGTGTGTCGTCCATTAAACGCATTAAATGTTATCGGAATAGGCAATAATTATTGCGATAAAATATTAGAAAGATGTGATACTTACATAAAATCAATTCATGGAGCTTATCAAGTTCAGTTATCTTGTTATGTTCTCAATCAACTTACCGGAGATATTCCAAAGATTTCCGTCGATACACATAGTCTAAAAATACCAAAAGAAGTTATATTAGCTGATCCTAAATTCTATGAACCTGCTTCCATTGAGATGCTTATTGGAGCAGATATATTTTGGGACCTTCTGATTAGCGGCCAACGCTCTCTAGGCCCAAACAGTCCTAAATTACAAAATTCTAAATTAGGCTGGATTATAGCCGGTCCTATAAAATTCCAAAATTACAAACAAAATATTCAATGCAATCATTCAATTGTTTCAAATAACAATTTGGATAAATGTTAACCAAATTCTGGGAACTAGAGAATCTACCTGAAAGAAAGATTTTTAGTCCCAACGAAATAGCATGCGAAAATCAATTTCTAAATACCACGACGCGTTTGAGTAACGGCAGGTTCAGAGTAAAATTGCCACTAAAGGACTCACCTGACTGTCTCGGCGATTCCTATAATCAAGCTAAAAAACGTTTGCTAAATCTCGAAAAAAGGTTTAGGAAAAACCCGACACTAAAGTCACAGTACGTAGAATTTATTCGTGAATATTCAAACTTAGATCATCTGTCAGAATCACCTATTAAAATACCAAATCCTTCATATTTTCTATGTCATCATGCTGTCTTCAAGGAGGACAGCGAGTCTACCAAGATTCGCGTGGTCTTTGACGGCTCAGCTCCCACAACTTCCGGCTATTCCCTAAATGACATCTTTTGGTAGGTCCTAATCTGCAGAATTCTCTATTCTCCATACTAATTAGAGCAAGACAATACAAATACATCTTAACCGGAGACATAACTAAAATGTACAGACAAATAGCTGTGGATCCTGACGATTGCAATCTTCAATTAATACTGTGGAGAGAAGATGAGTCGCAACCTATTCAAACTTTGCAGTTAGGTACTGTTACTTACGGTACTGCAAGTGCCAGTTACCTTAGCACTAAATGTCTGTGGCAGGTAGGGGAGGAGTGTGATGATCAATTAATTAAAACTATAATACAAAATGATTTCTTTGTCGATGACGTCATCACTGGATCAGATAGTGAGAGTCAGCTGATATACATACAAAGGGCACTTTCTACTGCTCTGAATTCAGCTTGTTTTCCTTTGCGAAAATACAAAACTAATTTACCTAAATTATT